TCCGCCTCCAAAAGGTTTTCAACTTTTTTGGGGGGCGGGCGGGCAGGGGTTTCGAGACAGGGTTTCTCTGTGTAGCTTTGGAGGCTGTCCTGGAACTAGCTCTTGTAGACCAGGCTGGTCTCGAACTCACAGAGATCCACCTGCCTCTGCCTCCCGAGTGCTGGGATTAAAGGCATGTGCCACCACCACTCGGCTCTTCTCTACCTTCTTAAATAGCACCAAAACCTGGAGACCAGTGTTCAAATATCTGAGTAGGTGGGGGAAATTCTCTTTCAAACCACAAAAACATATGTCTTGTAACAGTTTATAGTTGGGGTTTGTTTTCTTTTATGCATTCTGAAAGCCAGTTTGAATATAGTGTCTATTAAGTGTTACATAATGTTCAGTATATTTAGGCTTACATCTGTAATGTTTACTGTTATAACTTAAGGGGTGTCAGGGTTGCAGAAAGAAGCTAACAAGGTCACCCTTCATAAGTGCTTTATTAGACTATGGGGCCCTTAATGGGGAGAACTGGTCTCCATGTTGGAAGAGGAGTTTCATTAATTCATTAGGAGAGATAGCTTCCCTGTGTGGAATGGGGGTGGGATGATGAAGTGTGCCAGCAGGGGGCCAGAGGAAAGCGCTTTCAAATACCCAGAGCAAAGAGGACTTTTGATAAGTTCCAACAGGGGGCAGGCAAATATCATACCATGTGGTCTAGTCTGGACTACATGTCAAGAGGCACAGAGTCAGACACTTGGTGGGATCATAAACTCATAGCTTTGTTTGTTTGTTTGGTTTTGGTTTTTCAAGACAGGGTTTGTCTGTGGCTTTTGACGCTGTCCTGGAACTAGCTCTTGTAGACCAGGCTGGTCTCAAATTCACAGAGATCCGCCTGCCTCTGCCTCCAGAGTTCTGGGATTAAAGGCGTGCGCCACCAACGCCGGGCTCATAAACTCATAGTTTAGAGGAGGGGCTGGGCTTCTCTTCCCTGACCCTCATCCCAGCCTGAGTGTTTGTCAGTTCTTTGTCCTAAATGATAGGTTGCAGGTGTGTGTCCTGATTTCAGGGTGGGGTGTGGGGAAACACAGCTGAGGGCTGAGATCTGGCAGTCGTTGTGCATTTTCTATTTATCCAACCCTTTCATGATTTTTCATCTCTTGCTTTTTAGAGCAAGTAATTTTTATCATTCTCAATTCCCTCCTGTGCTTGTCCATGTGTTGTTGCTAGTCTAGTTGTTTCCACAGAGATTATCCCGTTCACTACTGACAAATCAGAGTCCAAATGATTATTGTTAATCTTACCTTCTTCCAGGCAATAAAAGGGCCTCAAAAATTACAACAGTCCTTCTCCCATCTTTCTATTTTTGATCCAGTGTGTGTGTGTGTGTGTGTGTGTGTGTGTGTGTGTGTGTGTGTGCACATTTTGAGTTCATTCCATATGTGTGCACTGCCTGTGAATGCCAGTAAAGGGCATTGGATGCCTCTGGAGCTGGAGTGAAAGGTGGTCATGAGCTGCTCCACTTGTCCTGGGAACCAAACACGGATCGTCTGCAAGAGCAGTGTGTGCTCTTAACTATGAAGCTGCCTCTCTAGCCCCACCCAGGTCCTTACTCTGAGACCTGTTTTAACTGCTGCTGTGGTTGCTGCTTCATCCCATTGGTACCCTGTGAGTTAGTGATGTGTTTTCCATTGTGGTACTCTTCTCCATCTTCGTGTGCCCATCTATTTCCCCTTGCTTTAAGCATCCTCTCCAGTATTCTCTTTAGTGTGTGTCTATTCCTGTTCATCCTCTCAATTTTTGTTTGTCAAAACCTTACTTGACATTTTCCTGTCCTTCCTGAAGGATATTTTCTCATGATTGGTAATACTGGGTTGGCATTTGTTTTATGTCAGGAGTCTTTTGTTTCCTGGCTTTTCCTCCTTTGGCTCTATGCAGAAGCTGTCTGATGTCAGTCTACCTGTGCACCATACAAGGATGTCATGTCCTTCAGTCTCACTTGATTGCTTCTGTACTTTTTCTTTACCATTTGTTTTACCATTTTTCCTATGAAGTATATAAATTTGCATTGCTTTCTACTAATATTTATCTCTAAAAACGCTCATCATTTCCCAAATTCTGTGGCCGTTACATGTTATAATAGTTAACAATGAAACTGCAGCATTGGTTAGCTTGGGAAAAGGAAGCTGACACATAATCCCCTTCAGAAAAAAGCAGTTTATTAGGAGAAAAGGCCTCAAAATCATCATTAGACCTTCACATGGGAGTTAGATATATGAAGATATGAACATGATGGAGTCCTAGAGGGAAGTAGAGACCTGGAGGAAAGCCCGAGGAAGGGTTTTTACTAACTTGCTCTTTAATTGAACTACTCTATTTATTTATTAAATATGGTTTGTTCATATTTTTGTCATCGTTGTTTTAGAATTCCCTGAATAATCCTCTCACAGAGTAAGAACTCAGAATTTAAAAAGGGACTTTTTTTTTGTTTGCTTTAACCAAGTGGTGGAGTGATGCTTTGGGGAAAGTAGATGAACACTTGTTACCATGGCAACACTTTTATTACTCAGGGCTCAGAATCATTTCCTGAAGAAGCTCAGGTTACCTAATTCTCACGTTCCAATTCTGATACTTTTCCCATGCTTTATGTTTAAAATCTGATTCATTATCAGCCATATTTCAATGCTTTCAATTTTTTTAACATGCATATCCATTGACTGACATTCTCTTAGCTGCTAAGCAAGACAGACACTATTAAGGGCAGACTCTTTATCAGCCTGTCTCCAAAATGTCTTTTCCTTTATGTTCAGGCCAAATTTGATGCTGCCAGATGAGCATGCCCGAGGCATTTGTCCACCATTTAAATTTAGCCCTTCAAACATGTGCTTACATGAGCTTGAGCCCAAAATTATGTTTTTCCTTGGATTTTCTTTAGCCTTAAAATAAGCATGTTCAGGAATGTAATGCTTTCTTGAGTTTGCCCAGGTATGGGTCATCCTCTACTAAACATATATTGGCTACTTAAATAACATACCCATGATCCTTCAGTTTGATGAGGTCCTTGCTTTCCCTTGCTTGATTCCACCCATAAATCTTTCCCACTCCCTTAGGTCTTGGCTGTCTTGTTTTAGTTTCATTATCCAAGAGGAGAGCCCACTGCCTGCACTTGGTCTGTTGACAAAAGATACAGCCCTCACTTCAAAGAATAAAAGAGTTTATTCTAGAGCCAATTAAGAGTGTTCATGGTGGAGGAACACAATCAGACTTCTTCAAATACCATGTTCCAACAAGGCATGAATTTTATGGACTTTTATGGTAACAGAACAAAGAAAGTTGTAAACTTAACACACTTTTCAAATATTGGTGAGCACATGTGGAGATGATAGAAAATGGCTCTCCTAGGATCCTATATTCCCATGTTGAGACCCTCGATAATGACATTTTTAGAAGGATTAGGAGGTGTGGTCTTGTTGGAGTAGATGTGTCTTCGTGGGAGGAGGTGTGTCAACAGAAGTGAGCTTTGAGGTTTCAAAAGCCCATGCCAGGGTCAGTGTCTCTCTGCCTGCTGCCTGTGGATCAGGATGTAAGGTTCTCAGCTGCTGCTCCAGTACCTGTCTGTCTGCTTCCTGCCATGATGATAATAGACTAACCCTCTGGAACTGTAATCTAGACCTCAGTTAAATGCCTCCTTTTGGTAAGAGTTTCTTTGGTTATGGTTTCTCTTTACAGCAATAGAATAGTAACTAAGATATCACATCAGGAAGGCAGGTTACAGCAAAATTGGAGAAAACTGAGCTTTAGCCTTAGATGCTATCTGACAGCATTCTTAGCTCTGATTGGCAGAAACTAGGGGCCTGTTCATACATTCCAGAGGATTTACCTAAGGGTCACAACTGACACTGAGTCATGCATAGAGGCAGACAATAAATAGCTACTAATGGAATTAGAGATGACCTCAAGGTAATTGGGCTTCGGACTGGCAACATTTCAACCTCTCCATGTCACTGACATTCTCATCAATCAATCAGTTTTTGTAGTCACAGCTTCATTCCTGGAATTCTCCTTTACGTCTCCCAGGTGACACTACCCTTGATGAAGCAGACAAATAGTGAGAGGCTGGATAGGATGCTTTTCTTGTTTAATAATAATTTTCCTGGAAGATCTGGAGGCTGAAGCAGAGTAATCTTAAATTCAAGGCCTTCCAGATCAGCCTAGCAAGACCGTATCTCAAAAGAGCTGTTGATGCAGCTGAGTTTGCCTAGCATGTCAGGACCCTAGGCTCAACTTCAAATAAACAAAGAAACAATGACAATAATCCTCTTTGGATATACACAGCATGACACACACGTAATTTGACTCTTACTGCACACGTTCTAATTGTGGTTATGGATTGGAGTGAACAACAGGTATAGGTGAAAGCTAATGGTCACTACCAAATCATTTGGGGTCCATTTATGCTATGCTACTGATCCCATGTTTCCTTGTGCCATCTTGTTGACAATAACAAGAGACATTTTTCTATGTATAGAAGAAGTTGGCAAACTAGCTGCAGGCTGTTGCTTGCTTGTTGTCAGGGCCTGAGGTCACCAGAACCCCTTGAGTAATCTCCATTTCCAGGATCACGTGGGATAGAGGGATGTGTAACCATCTGATGGTGCAGATGGGGTGTTGTCTGGACTTTGTGGCCTCCTGTACAACAGCCAGTTCCGAGTCTACTCTTCACCTTGTAATGGCTGGGAAGAAGGATGAAGCCAGATTTATTTGTGGGACTAGATTTCTTTTCAGGCTTTTCCTCCGTGACTGTGGAATAAAGGGCATATTTATTAGTAAAAAAGCATTATAGACAAACTTCCCAACTTTTACCACTAAAGAGTTTTCATCCTCTTAGACAAGCAGTGGAGTGATTTCAACAATCCCTGTGAGTCTCCAACAAAAGAGTGTTGATGGGAGGAAGTGAAAGTCCCAAAGGGTTCTGGAAGAGCTTTGGAGCTAATTAATGGGGTGCTTCTCCATTCTAGGACCTGTGGACACTAACTGGAAAAGGTTGGCAGAAGGACAAATATGAGTCGAGCCCAAAACAAAACAAGTTCCAGGCTAGCCAGGATTACATGACAAGACCCTGAAAGCACTCCTTGGGACAACAAGATGGTCCAACTGCGGACAGCACTTTCTGCACAGACTTGACAACCTGAGTTCTATCCCCTGATCTCATTGTTCAAAGTGGGAACTGACTCCTGAATGCTATCCTCCGACCTCTACTTGTATGCCATGTCATGGGTGTGCACCCACAAAAAATAAATAAATAAAAAATTTAAACCCATAGATAGATAGATGCATATAGATAGACACATTTTGTCAGCAACATTCAATCAGCATTTATAAGACACTAGACGAGCACCATATGTTTCTCAGATATTTCTGGGATTTGGTTACAAAATTTTGTAGCACCAAAAGGGAAGAGGAGACATACAAGGTAAAGAAAGTGACAGAAAGTTCTGAGGCCCAGCCTCTGTCTTCATGGACCTTTTAGGCCTGGGCACTAACAAGGTTGTATCTCTGCTCCTCTCTCCGTGAGACGAAATAGGAGCCTCATGTCCCCCCATGACCTGCATACTGCAGCAGAGGGAGGATCCCCACTCTCCAGGTGTCCTCTCTGCAGTAGTCTAGACTTCCTTCGTTTCTTTCCTGAGCCCACTACTCAGCAGGTTCTCCCTCCTTCTTAGTGTCAGTCTGAAAGAATGAGTTGGATGAAATGCGTGCCCTTATGATTTACAATCCAATAGAAGAAAGACAGTGAAGAGAAATGAGTTTTCAAGGAAAAGCAAGATGCAATAGTAGAAAGGGGGAATTACTGAACGACAAGAAGTCTGATGGTGATGAGGGTAGGAAGAAAATAAAACTGAATGAGGAGGCTGTTGTTGTTTGTGTGCTCTTAGAGGTATTCCCACCACGAGATCCTAGAAACTCATGTACTTCCAAATTATACTGTGTTATATTTAAACATTTAGACTCTGAAGCCAAACTTCTGGGTTTAAAGCCCAGCTCTGTCACAGGGTTCTTTGGGAATCTTTGATAGTTGTTTATGCCCTGTGCTCGGGTTTTGCAACTGCAAAAAGAGGGTGCTAATTTTAATGCATTGTTACAAAGATGTGAGAATCCATGCCAAGCACACAGCCCCAGACTTGGCATATTAATTTAAAGTAAAATCAGCCATTATAATAAATTATATCATCAGATGTGTGTGTGTGTGTGTGTGTGTGTGTGTGTGGGTGTGTGTGGGTGTGTGTGCGCATGTGGATACTAGAACATCAGCATCAAGTGTCTTCCTCAGTTATCTCACTGACCTTGGAGCAGCAACTTAGCTACACTAGCTGGTCCGTAGTCCCAGTGGTCTGTTGTCTCATCTCTCCAGTGCTGAGATTACAGATATACACTGTTGCACCCCACTAATGATGTGGGTGCTGGGTATCCAAGCTCAGGCTCCCATGCTCACAATGCAAGCACTTTAGCAACTGAGCCATATCCCCGGGTCCCTGAGTATCTTTTTGTATGTTTGTTTAAAATAAAATTGTGAGTATTTCTAGGTATCCTTTGGAGAAACTATGGAGTATGTTGGCATATATACCATCTTCAACGAAACCATTTTTCTGTGACTGTGTGTTTCTATAAATTTGAAAATAGGTTACATGACACAGAGTTCACATTCTTATGCTTTCTCCACGTTTAAACTTTCTTGATTTTCTTTTCTTTTCTTTTTTTTGGAGACAAAGTCTCACTACATAGCCCTGGCATTTCTTGTAACTCACTCTGCAGACCAGGTTGTCCTCAAACTCACAGATATCTGCCTGCCTCTCTGTCTGAGTTCTGGGATTAAAGTTGTGTGTCACCAAACTTGGCCCTTTGTTTGATTTTTGTGGCACTTACGGATTGAACCCAGGACTTTGCACATGCTAGTTAACTCCCACTGAGTTATCAACCCATATCCTTATAGCTATGACTAAGTTTTAATTCCACTATGCTGATTCTTAAGACCTATGTGGTCACCTTCATTTCTAAGCTTTGGATTTACTTAGAAGATAAACTTATATTTACTATCAGATTAGCTAAAACTATAAAGAATAAATAAAAATATGGGGCACTAAAACATCTGAATTGTGAAACCCAACACACACACACACACACACACACACACACACACACACACACACACACATATATATATTACCTTTTACTTTTGGATTACTTATAACATGCTGCTTCATCCATTCCTTACAACTAAAAGCAAATATTACTGTTATAAAAAATGCTTTCATTGCTAATAGCTCTTTCTTGAATAATTGACAGCATGGCTGATTAATGGGACTCATCCATATTTCCAGTCAGTGCAAAAGATAACTAAATTATGAAGATATTTTCCATCTTTTTTTTCTCTCTTTTTATTATTATTATTAATTCAAGTTAGGGAACAGGCTTGTTTCACATGTAATTCCCCTCTCCCTCTTCCTCCCCTTACCCCCATTCCTTCTCCCCCACCTCCAACCTACCCCCCACCCCATCCACCCACCACTCCCCAG